AAAAAGAAACTGGCTCAGTGAATATACTACACTTATTGAAGCAATCCCAAAAGTATGGATAAACACAATAAAGCAATACAATAAAGGTAACGAGCACGTGAGAACGAGTGTACTGCAATCGACAAAATAGCAAGGATGAATACGAAAACTATTTATTTAAATTTTGTCAATAAAATATTTAGTCCACCTCAGAGCATACTTAAATGGGAGGGTGTATTCGATGATAAAATACAATGGACCAAAGTTTGGAGACACAAAGTAAAAAATGAAAAAAATAAAAAATATGCACAATTAAATTATAAGTTATTGAATCGAATTGTCCCTACCAATGCTAGATTATACAGATGGAATCTTAAAAGTACATGCAAATGTAATAATTGTGATGCCATAGAAGATGAGAAACATATGTTTTTTGAATGTCCACGTAACAATATATTATGGAAAAAATTGATAAAATATTTAAAAAAATTGATAATATTAAAAGTTTTTTTTAAAGAGCTCCTGCTGGGATGTGAGTGTGACATTAAAAACTAATTATATACAATTGGTAATTATTCGATTTATAAAATAAAAATATTAACTGAATTAAAAAAGCCTACTTGTATAAATCCATGGGCTGTATTTAAGTCAATTGTAAAATATATGGATGCATTAGGTTTGTTATTATTACTAAGTTTACAGTTGCACTGTATTTCAACATTTGTGTCATTGTCAATATACGCATACCGGTATAAATAATTTTATTGTAAAACAAAAAAAAAAGAAGAAAAAAAGAAAGAAAACAAAAAAAAAAACAAAAAAAAAGAGGTACTAACATTATTATATCGTGTTCAGATATAACGCAGTGATAGTCAATGAGTGATATGTAAAAAGCATTTATTTATATAATTTAATTTTTTTTTATATAAAATTTTATTTCATGCTTTTATTGTATTCAACTATTTTATAGAAATGAGTGCGTTATTATCCAAAGATACGCTTTAACAAAAAGAATGTAAGCTTTAAAAAAAAAGTGTGTAAGAACATAAAAATGAAAACCCAGAAAAATGGAGAAATATCAAACTGTCTTGATTGTATGAAAATGAATAAAGATGGTGGTGGTTACCCCACAAAAGAGAAAAAAAAGAAGAAACGGAGATATTCGCCATTAACAGTGACAGTTTCCTATCAATATATTTTTGTTAAGTGCATGTTAATACAGCTGCAATATCTTGGTATTTTCCAGTCGAGGCTAAAACAAAATCGTTTAGCAGACTGCTTGATTATGAGAGCATTGTAAATACCATAGTTATTGGAATAAACACCCAAGGACTTTCATTGTTAAGAAGGGTTTTAGGGGGGGGGGGCGTTCATTTGAGGGAGGCGTTTATTTATTATTATTATTATTATTATTATTATTATTATTATTATTATTATTATTAATAATAATATTATTATTATTATTATTAATTATTACTAATATTATTATTATTATTATTATTATTATTATTATTATTATTATTATTATTATTATTATTATTATTTTCTTTTGGTGTAAATTAGATGCGCATATACTCAAAATATATGCCCTTAAATTTCACTACAACACGTAATTACTGTCAAAATGAAAGAACAAAATGTAATTCCACTGGAGTAGAAAATCAAGAGAATCTGTTGACAAGATGTTGCTTTGTTTTACAGTCATTTGGTTGGGTGAGGAGTTGATTATTTGAGGAAAAAATTAAGGTGTTTATTCCAAATGAGGCTCTAGAGGGGATGTTTACTCAAATAAATACGGTAGCAGATTCATCGATGATTAACACTTTTCATGTAGAAGAAATAATAATAATAATAATAATAATAATAATAATAATAATAATAATAATAATAATAATAATCATAATAATCATAATAATCATAATAATCATCTCACACCAGAAACCATTTCGGGGGTTACAACAAAAAAGGTGACATGAAATTTCTTGATATTTACCATAGGTCTAAATAATAATGAATTGTAGATTATGGATTCACCTACAGTAATAACAGGCACACTTCATTTCAATTTTTATAATTAAAGTTCTCTGCTGAACACCATATCAGTGTTTCTAATTTTTGGAACTAAACAAATCAAAGGATGATGTGATAACAGCCTTCATTCATCTTGGCACGACAGGCACAATTTTGCTGGAACATTATCGTTTGGCAAACCTAGCTTTTACAACTCTCTGTTGGCCGAATCTGCCTACAAAATGAGCGCACTTAATACAGCTAGGGTTCCAAGTTCGAAGAAGTCATTTCCGGGAGATCTGCGGTTGTGGGTCGAAGGGTGGGGGTAGGGAGGGACTTTCACAGATTGAGGGTGTGAACTACATCAGCCCCATCATGGTTGGAGCTGAGGAAAATACGTATGATTGTGGTACGTTTCGATGGCCGGAAATGGCCCTCTCAGACATAAATTTGAATATAATTTTCATTTCTACCCCATTTTTTCATAATTTTTAAATATTTAGGAGGCCCGGCCGGCTTTCCTCCTCCCTGCACTACTGATCTGGTTAAAGATTTAATCATATTTTGCTACACATAGTGATACCCACCGGCTCTGTTTAAGTCGAAAATTTTGCGTCAGTCGAATTTTTGAAAAGTCCCAATTTTTTCCTATGTATTACTGTGTAAATTGTTTGTTTAATTCGAATTTTTATAAGTCGAATTTCGGCTATATCGACGGAATTTTCTGGTCCTGATAGGCCGATTTTAAAGTAATTTCAACAACACAAGTCGAAGTTCCAAATTTAGTAAAATTAGTAGCCATGTCAAAACTAACATCTCAGACAGCAAGCTGGTGGAACTTGGCTCACACGATCCTTTGTCGTAAGTTGCAGTCTACTCTCACAATACAGACACCCCTCCAGACCGGCTCCAATGTTCAGTTTTTCGTCCAGTTCAGTTTTTAGAACTTGTATTGAACCCATTTCGAACAATATTGTTGTAGTCAAGGCCTAGCTATTTAATTAATTTATCAAAGCCCTGGATTCTTTTGACTATAGGTCTATCCTAGCCTACGCAAATTCAACACATTATTTAATAATACGTACAGTACCTGTTGTTTTGCTGTACTGCTCAGCAAATTTAATTATTACCAATAAAATTAATGCGACTTTTATATTGTTTTTGCGTGCATTTCTTTTAGGTCTCATTATGTTTTTCCAAGCACACATTCTTCGTTGGGCAATGCCACTTGCTGGTTGGCAGTCTAGTCCCCCAAAACTCTGCCTGCCCGCCAATTGGTCCATTTTCGTGGGGTGTTTTGCACTAGACATGTGCTATGGCTGTGATGACGTCAGGTCGCCCAAAGTTTCATAGTTCGTGAAAGTAACAAACTCGGTGTAATTAAGAAAGTTTTAATTTAAAAAATGTATAAAACAAAACAAAAAACAAATAAGAAACCCTCATGGTATTACTAGTGAGTGTTACCGTCCTGAATTGGATTAAAAGAAGAATAGGAATGATTTGAAAAATGTTCGGTTTTGCGTGAATTTCGATTTTGTGGGCATTGAGTACACATAGTATTGTTCTATGTTAATATTTTTAAATTTTTTTTTGAAAATGAAAATGTGCAAGTCGAAATCTGTATAACTCTAACTTTTTATGCCAGTCCCATTAGATTCGACTTAGGCGGACTCGACTACTTTCTTGCTTAAAACCACCTAACATTGAGGAAACTGAGATGTGCTGGACACTAGTTTTTTCATAAAATAGTATTAGATCACTCCATTTGTATTATCATCTGAGGTAATTTTTAACAATTTGATATTAGGCCTACTATAGCTCTCAAAATTAGGCAGTCATGTTTCAGCTAGCTTATTTTTTTTCTTTACTGTCAATTATGTAATATTGTTTTAGCCTCGACTCAGAATGATAATGTTGGACAGGGAATTATTTACCCACATTTAATAATTTATGAGAAGTGCCTATTATTGTGTAAACCAATTATTTACTATCTGACATTATTATAATTTGATGTGATTTGTTTCGAAAGGTGAACAAAGTGTAAAAAACAAAAACAACAACCATTAGAGAATTTCAAGATAACCCTTAAAGCATTTCTGCTTGTTTCCGAAATGGTCCCATTGAAATAATAAGAAATAACGCTACAATGACAAAATACAAAAAAGGCCTTATCCATAGCTCTCAGTATCGAAAAAATTTCATGTCACCTTATGTTTTTCTGCCAAATGATTTTGTCTAACCCTAAACTAAGAAATACCAGGATGGTCTCCAGCGGGGATAGTTTCACCCATTAAAACTTGGATCGCAGATAACAAAATATGTTACGATTAACACTTTTTATTACAGTACATTATGAAAATTGCTCCCAATCAAGCAATCTAATTTCATGTTCCTTATGCTTTCTTCTAATGTTTTTGGCCCGGAAGCTATAGTCAGGTTCTACACAACAAAAATGATGATTTTCGATTATTTCATGAAAAAACTAATAAACATGAATAGAAATGCTTTTGTTATCAGTGTATCAGTTCAGTTATAAACAAGAATCTACAAAAGTATCGGTATTAGAACTGAGAAATCGAGCAAAATTTGTACAAAGAACTACGAACATGCAATTTTCACCAATAGAAGGCAGCAGACAATGACATGTTTAATAGGGAATATCTCCGTTACTATTCATTTTTTTTATATTAGTGTAGAGGGGAAAATATTCAGTGCATTATTTCCTTTCCAATGATACCACATAATGATATGTTTGACTAGATGTCATCTTGTTTTCCAAGATGGCTGCCAGAATTGGCACCAACGTTTTTCTTGTTCAGTATAAAATTCTGGGTCGGAAAAGCGTTGTGGCCATAAATTAACATGAATTGCGAACAAAAATACATAAGCCCCTGCACTAAAACGTATTGACTTACTTATTAACGTAATAACTTTAACAGCGCATTTTTGTACCGTAAAATTTAGAGTATTCTGACCACTGACAAGCTATAATAATGATAATAATAACCAACGAGTTTGTTATATACTATAACATCTTCCTGTAATACGGTAATAACTGGTCTTGTGGTAGCAATGCAAGTTTGTAGTGCTTTCAGAATTACGCTACCAGAATTACAAAGTCATATTATATATAAACAAGAGCAATGCTGTACAGTAGTGCGATCGCACGTACTTTTTAAATTAAATCTGAGGCTTATAAACATTTGGATAACATGGTTTTCAATTCCATTTTCAATACGGAACTTCCAATTTCTTTCTAAAAAAAATTCAGGTTAATATTTCAGTGATGTTCTTTCCAATGGGTTTTCAATTAAAAGCTATCATTTTCAACCCACATCATAAAAAGCCATTGTTTTTTAATTGATTTCTTTTCTTCTTCTATCCCGTTTTCCTCAGTTTTTGCACAGGGTTTTTTTTTTGACCGGCACATGATGCCTGTTGGGGCTTCAGCCTCTCCGTCGGGCAGATTCAGGCGCCATTCTGGGTTTAGATAGTAATCGCTGATATATTTTATTCGTATTTTAATGTTCATATTATTCCTTATAATATTTATCAGGGGCGGATCCAGAGAAAATGTGGGTACGGATCATGCGCCGTGTGAAGCCCGGGGTGATAGCGGGTGATATAGTTTCAAAAAAGTATTCTGTCTGATTGGATTCACATCATCATCAATATACATCCGTAATAATCATGCTTATTTGGGGAGAATTTATAGGCGTTCATTTGATTCTAGATTGGTCTGGTTCACATGATGTGTGAAGACATTTTTTGAGTTATAATCTTTCCTCGAGTCCGGCAAGTGGAAGGGTGGGAGGGGGAGGGGGTTGGCCTGTTTAACGTAAGTCCTCCCCCACCCCGTTGGTGCTGCCACTGATGATTGATATCTCGGGTTGGCCTAAATGAAAAATTATCGTAATACGCATGGAATGATTAACCCATTCTACCTAAGTGATCAGTTTCGGTGACAAATAACTTATAAGTCATTGTGTTCATAACGTCATGCCGACGCTAATTTCGAGGGCTGCTGGTATGTTTTGAATGTTTATTTAATAATTACTCAACGAATTTCCAGCGTATGATTATCCTAGGCCTTAACTGAGAATATCGTAAACCCGTGAATCCTACTACCTAATAGGTTTGTGTTGCTAAGAGTCGCGATCCCGCGAACATCCTGTGTTATGTTGTACTGAGTGTATGTCATATTCGGTAAAGGTCAAATGCGGTTCAGATTCAGAAGGTGGAGCTTAGCTATACAAAATTCATAAAAATAGGTGATTTAAAACTCGTTTTTCAGAAATACGCGTTATCTAAAAAGAAAAGGAAAGTCATCGATATGTTTATTATATATTTTTTTAAATTGTTTTATGACATTTTAAAAGCAACTAGAATATGTCATTTAGTTGGACTTTAATTACTCCATCTGTTAATTTTTCTTTTCCGAATATTAAACAACAAACACTAACAAAAACATGTACAATCATATTAAAAAGCAATTAGACTCAAAGGGTTGAGTCCATCTTGTTTTAACATAATAATTAATGTGATAATATCTATGAATACGAATATGAATGCGAATGAACTTTATTATCTTTCAACAGTAAAACAAAAGAAAAGCATCTTCAGTTACCAAAAACAGACAATAAAAACATCAAAATCCAGAAAAAATCTAATATATATATTCATTAAAATATATTGATTAAAAAATATACCTATTACGCCTATTACCTTAATAAGACTATTACTAACAATTTCAATAACAAACAAGCCAGCAAACAAAAGTTTATTTAACACTACAATTTAACACTACAATATTCCTCTATCATTTGAGCAGATTTATTAAATTCAGAATGTAAATGCTGTGTGTACTCAAAATTAGCAAATGTTTCTTTATGACATGACACAAATCAAAGCTGTAAAAATGATGGGTTAGGCCCAAGGCGACTGCGGATATCAACAGTGGTGGACAGAGTTTACCTTTCTGGAAATGATAAGGTTAATATGCTGCGGTGGTTTAATAGGCTACAACTCCCTGGACCTACTGATACTAGAACCTTTTTTTGAGGTGCGCAATAGGTTTAGACAAAATAATTTTTTACTCATCATTGGATACATAGCCATGCAGCAACAGTAATCTATTCGAAAGTGACTATAAATAGACATATTTTTAACTTAACGTAGGTCAACGGATTCTGTCCCTTGTGTCTAATGGTGTGTTCTCTAACACTCTCAAAGCACTGATGATAAAAAAAGACTAATACGTTGTGATATATAGGCTATGTGTAGTACCGGTAAATAATTAAAACAAACATTTTTACTGTAAGGTGGAACAATAACGAATTCCTCTTTAATATTTGGAAAAATATATATTTACATATATATTTTTTGTGTTTCCTTCACACCATCTGCCACGTTACCACAATACTCCTAATGGAATGATGCAGCTTACAAGAAAAGAAAAAGAATAAAACAATAATTAAAGACAAATTGAATCGACATCAAAACTTTCAAAACTTCACTCTCAAAAAAATACATACGCCTACACTAATTCTAAACAAACACAACAAATATTGGTAATGCTTTAACAGGCTCTATGTACCGTACTGCACTAAACATGGTAGAATTTTTGCGACGCGTGTTCAATTGTTCATCAAGGTAATAGTTCTAAGCAATGCTGTCCAGTTAGTGACAACATCCCTTCTTTTTCTTTTTGTTTTTCACTCCAAGTATATCCATGAGTTGTTTTGACATGTAATAAGGCTTCTCTGGTGTTCCGTCGTGTCGCTCTAAGTCTTCAAGGAAGCAGAGAAACAGTGTATCGATCGCCATATCGTACACGCCAAAGAAGCTGTTTGCAACAATGTACGCGGCTAGTGCCATGAATAAGATTGGCGCCCAAAAGTAAGTCATTGCTGGCACACCTGTGCTATCAACGTCAATCGGAGACGTCGACGAGTAGTTGCGAAAAAAAACTGACGCACCAAATGCTGTCCCGAGTGTTATCACAATTTTTCCAACGAAGAGCATAAAGCTTGAAATTCCATTCAGCGCCGTGGCTCGAGCTATATTTCGCATGAGGAGAAAGAATGCATTTTTGGCAGATGTACAGAAATTCTTGCCATAAACAGCAATTTCGATGTATGCGTTGCGATTTATAAACCGCATAATTTTTTCTAAACACCAAAAGCAGCATTTACAACACTTGAAAATAAATTTTGTAAAGAAATTTTCTGCATTGCTCACTTGGTCTTCAACATATTGTATGGCAACCCGAATCAGTTGGATGATGGTTATGATCAGGGAGCCGAAGGCGATTGATCCAATATGATAACGAATGCTTCTCCAGAATGATCGAAGCAGAGGTAGGTTTTTGATGTCATCTGGTTTAGTAAATGCCCAATAGTAACTTGCAAATGCTCCCGCAAGTGTGATTTCTCCAAGAGCACTTATAAAGTTCAAAATCCAAAATAAGGCCACTAGGTTGTAAGCTTCGAACCAGTAAACGTAATTTGGGACGATGTTATAACCTATCAGGATACATTCCGTTGTTCCATTAAGTGGAATTGTGGGTTCACAACTCGCACCGTCTGTATATTCGTCGGTAGAATTTGCTATCTGGTATGGTGGTTCCACAATGGATGCTATGAAGATGACGCTAAAAGCCCAAAATGTTAAAAAGGCCAGCTGCATGATAAACGGGATGACAGGCCACAAGAGAGAACAAAGCATTGACGAAACTGCTCTACTCGCTTCTTTAATTAAAGCGATTGCAATGCGAATACGCTTGAATAGAAATAACATAATTAGGGTGAGAATTGCTAACATTGTACTCATTATTATAGCAGCTATATACCAGGTTCGCTCCATTTTGACGTAACTCGCAACTTCTTCATAATCAAGTGAAAACGTATCTGAAGTACAATCAGCATCGTTATTTTTTATACAGTTCCGCTCGTTCCAACAGAAGTAGGTTCCGTACCCTAATAGTGCAAACACCAATACGATGCTACTCCAAACCATAATGGCTGCAATCCAACGCATTAAAACAATATATAGCAGAGAAGCAAACATAGATATCGTAATACCTGCCACCATATACGGCCACGTTGCTTTTAAATCCTCTACTGTACTATTGAACCGTTCATACTTTTGAAGAAAGTTTAGCAGGTCGTATGCTACCGCGCGATCTTCCTCGGTTATTTTTCGGTTATTCGGTGTGGTGTCATTTTCTGTGTCAGAAACTAAAAATTCTGGATAACAGCGACTGGTAAACACGTCACTTTTTGTGTAAAAGTTGGCACATTTATTTTCAACCAAAAGGTCCTTTATGGTGGAACCATTAGTGCTTACTTCTTCTTTTGCATTTATTCCATAGATACAAATGAAATCATCCCAAACGATGGAATCGACATCGACGTTTGGATCGTCTAATTCATTAGAGTATCGAGCTTCGATGGCATAGTTTTCCTTTGGGCATTCATCAACGCATACTTGCAGTGATGTGGTGCAGTCAAACTTCGGAGGTTTTACTTCATTCAAACACTCCAGGTAGTCAAAAAAGAATAGGTAGGGTTTTTCTGCTACATTGTCGGACATCCCACATACTTGGCCTTGGTAATCTGTGGGATAAATTAATGTTTCCACATTACCTCTCTGGAATCCGATGGCACTGATCACCCCTAGGCCAGCAAGGAACAAAACGAACACGAAACAGCAAATAATATCTGTACAACTCCTGTTCGAAATTGGTCCATCGAATGTCGGGTCATATTTTTTGGGTTCACCGTAATACTTTACTTTTTCTTTAGGTTCATCGTCAGATGCATCGCTGTTTCGTCGTTTTCCCATTTTGTCCGTTTATAAAGAATATACAAGTTGAGGCAGTCCAGCTTTCGATATCACTCTGGTACATACCGCACGACCTTTGGTGTTTGGTGTTCTATTTGTTGAGTAAAGTCCGTTTTATATGTAATCTATTAGTGTTTGTGTTGACTGTTTGGTCCTTGTGTTTCAGTTCCCTATTATTACGTTGTGTTACTAATTATAGTTTATTCGCCATAATGAAAAACGACGCATCAATCTTTCTGAACATTCTATTAAATATTTATAACAGTAATACGTTTAATAATTTAGTCTGGACCAGAGAAACCAGAAAAAAACCAATTCGAGGCGCTGTTGTACAAATCAAGGATCCTTTTTTAAAAAAATGAACGAATTTTTAAGACTATATTTTCATAAATAGGCCTAAACTTTCTCATTGAGAAAAAAAAATAATAGAATGTTGACATCGATTAGAAACTATAACCAGAAACAGAAAATGTAATTTAAGGACATACAACGTTCCTTCGGCCTGGTTATGTTTCCTCGGTTATTTGTATTCTTCCTTGCTAATTTTCCCCTTGCTATGCTATGGTCGTTTCACCGGCGTATCGATTATACTCTATATGACAGGTTCCTTCCAAATTAACTCTTAAAGTTCCCCTCATTTATTAGATAAAGAAGAAAAACTTAATGTTTGTATGTATTTATATATTTTGGAAAAGTATAGGCCTATATTGTTAAACTATATAATTGTCAGTCATACTATATCAGCAAAGGCAAAGGCCTAAAATTAATATAATATAATTATAAAGTACTTTGTTTAGTATTGTGTTTTTATGAACAAGTTACCAGTAGGTATATATACTTTTTTGTTTGTTTTGGGGAACCATTTCTGGATTTTATTTTCTTTTGTCTTTTATAGGCCCTACGAACAACGATTGTGTGACAGGCATTCGATGTTGCTTTTTATATTAGTTATCATTCTGTTGCTTTTGTTTTTGCTGATCAGCCTACCTTTACGCAAATTGAGTACATGCGTGCGCGTGCAAAATGTTGAATTTTTAATTGGTCGCAGCTTAAATCGATCGCGGTCAAATCAGTTATCTTGTGGAATGTGGAGCAAACGATAAAGTATCGCCGCTAAGTGCAGTCTTTCGAGCATTTCGGCGCTTGTTCGAGCCGCTCATCGCCCAGGTTTTGGTTGATAGAACCAGGGAGATGTAGAACCAAGTCTTCTCAGAATGAAATGGAGGTCCAGTGTATACATTAGGCTCGCCTGCACTTTAAAGAACCCATTGCTTCCGAGTCTTTTGGAAGAGTAGGTAGTTACCCAGATGCTACGGTTCATTTCAGCCCCTGTCTTTGTGGAATGATGTGAACATGTACCTACTATAAGCGCCTTTGTACGGCTGCTAGTATAAGTCACGGAAGCGCAAAATATGTTATTCCAATTTACTTGGAATGACAGACCAGATTTTATCAAAAGATCAATAATGTACAACAAATACGAATGTGGAGGTTTGAACATGCCTCAAATCAAAAGTTTTTCGGAGGCCCTGAACGTCGCTTGGGTAAAACGTTACCTGGACAAAAATAATAGGCCTAATGCAAAATGGAAATTATTCTTTGGTCACGAAATTAGCATTTATGGAAAAATGTATTTATTTGAATGTAATTTCGATACTGATTCTATTTTATTCCAACGAATTTCTCATGGTTTCTACAGAGATGTGATCATGGCCTGGTCAAAATTTATTTTTTTCCATCCGAAAATGAAGGAAGAATGTATTTCGCAATGTTTATGGAATAACAGTTGTATTAGAATTGATATGTGATTTGATTGCAAGTGGTAATTTCCTTACATTTAATCAATTTCAACAGAAATGTAATATAAAAACTAGTGTTCTTAAGTACAAAGGCATTTTAAGCGCTATTCCAAAAAACTGGAAAAAAAGATCTAGTGCATGATACTGGCAATTTCAAACCCATAAACAAACAACTAACACAAATTTCTATTAATGAAAATCATAATAAAATAATTTATTCCAGTTTAATTAAGAAATATGTTTCAAAACCAACCGCATCTATGAATAAATGGGAAACAGAATTTGAAGAGGTATTGAACTGGGAAACGATTTTTATGTGTCCAACAAAGTGTACTCTAGATACAAGATTAAACAATTTCAAATTTAAATATATTCATAGACGCATAGCAACAAATAACTTTTTTTTAGGATTAAGATAATTGATTTACCAATCTGTAATTTTTGTAAAGTTGCTATACAAACCTTGTAACATTATATTTGTTTAGAAGAAATTATTATGGTTATTGTTGTTGTTATTATTATTATTATATTGGAATGGTATTGAATGGTATCAATGGTTATGTATTTTCTAGCGTCTTCCACAATAAAAATAGTCTCAATATACAGCTAATTTCAAACGAATTTCGACTAGCACTACGACTAAATGACGCGAGCCTTGACTAATAATGATACCTCCGCAGGCCGACTCTTTTAGTCAGCTCAAGGTCAGGCTAAATCGCCGACTTGAAAATATTTACCCCCTAAAAACATGTTTTTCTTTGTAATTCACGATAGACTGAAAACAATAAAAACGATGTGTCTTCGGTGTATTCAAGAAAAAAAGAGACATTAGGTTTAGGTTTTAAAACGTGAAATTAACTTGTTTTGCTAGGCGCATGCGATAGTTCCCTGATTTGCACGAATTGCGGTCATGTAGCTTCACCGTAACAACAACAAAGATGTCGCCGTCCTCGCTCGTGCTCAACTATCATAGTTCTCCAAAGAAAGCGAAGTTTCAGTGACTGTTTAATTTCTCTATTGTTATAGGCCTATGTTAACAAATTAATATAGTTATTATTATAGAAAATTAATTAGGCGAATGATTATCTACAGTCTATGAATTACGTGGAAATATGTGTTGCCGTTATAGAAACTCATTTGTTCCAAACTCCATTCACCTTCATAATAATAATGTCAGAAAAGTTTAATGTGTAATATTGTTTAATAATGTTTATATTCTTTTTGTACATCTTATGACTAGATATTGTTTGGTGCTCATATTTTTATATCCTTGTTATCTTTTATTTATTACTCGCTCATTTTATTTATTACTCGTCAATTTATTACAATTGTTACTGCCAGTGGAACGTATTTTCTGGTGTTTTTTTTTAGACAATAAAATTATCTTGAATCTTGAACGGCAAACGGCAGCTTAATATTCATCCGCGTTACCGGATCTCTAAATATTTCGTCTGCTATTAAAATGAGCTCTTTTTCATTAGTTAGTTTGATAGTTGTTGCGTGCCAGCCGTCTTCAGCTGGACTTACACAAGAACTTCTCAAAAAATCTCAAAATTCTCACTTTATTGCAATCATGAATAACTGATGATTGAAGTTGAACAATACATTGAACAATACAATACTTTTATACCTAACGTCTTTGAAAAACTCCCTGTATAGTAATAAAACGTTTAAAACGTTCCGTGTTCACTTTAGGAAGAACAAATTCACGATTGTTTCTAAAATTGTAGTTTTTAAGGGGGACCGACCGTAAAAGGGAATGCAATCTATGGGAAGGTGATTTTAATTTTCTAAAGTAGTTCTTACAAAGTGTTCTATCTATCAATTGAGTGCAAGAGGTGACCAAGGTATAGCTGGAGCTAATCATGCTTGGTACCTTAACCCCAACCCTCTCAAACTACAGACCTATGACGTTAATAATAATAATAATAATAATAATAATAATAACAATAATAATAACAATAATAACAACAATAATAATAATAATAACAATGATAATAACAATAATAATAATAAATAATAATAATAATAACAATGATAATAGTAATAATAATAATAATAATAATAATAATAATAATAATAATTATTATTATTATTAATATTATAATCATCATTATCTCTACCACCACATCACCACCATCATTATAATGGTGATACTGATAAGATAGTATTATAAATTTTGTCAAAAATAAAATAAAGGTTGTGTATCATTAATAGCAGACCTGAACTGTTTTAACAGTTTGTTTGTTTTACACATTAAAATGTGTTTACTTTAGTAGAAGTAACATTTTAAGTTGTGATGAAAAAGCAATGATTTTTGTTTTTTAACTCTAGTAAGTAGATTGTTCGAAATAATAGCAAGGCGAGCGTCATAACCACTAGACCACGAAAGCTTCATGGTTGAACAGGTCCAAATAACCGTCAGGAACATTGTATTACACAAACGGTTATTTGGACCTGTTCAACCATGAAGCCTTCGTGGTCTATTGGTTATGACGCTCGCCTTGTCAGCGAGAGGTCGCAGGTTCGAGTCCCACCAGAGGCATTTTATTACACAATTTCTTTCTTCATTTATTTACAGGACTACATTCGTTGAGAGATCATGCAGACTTACAACAAATTGTTGTTGATTAATTTGCTGTTTTTGACTATTGGTCTGTGTCTGAGAACACACTGGCCTATTTCTTTATAAAATAAAACAAAACAAATTAAAATGAATTCACATCACAATATATGCAGTATCTGAGTAAAAGAAATTTAATAGTACGAACAACAATGATTTTAAGAGTAGATTACGTCATCGTTATTTGCATTTCTATGTACTCCATTGTTAGCCTATATAGGCCTATGTATTTACTTCAATGCTAAGCATGCAAGTGATTCGTTGTGTCTAGATACATCGTATGTTCCTGTACCGTACTTCATTGTTATGCGTTGGCCTATTATTTTGATGGTTATGTGTGTACCTCATCGTTATGTGTATGCATTATGTACTTTCTTGTCGAAACTACTGTACAGGCCCGTAGCCAGATTCTTTCAAGGGAGGTTCTCTGGGCGTTGGGTCCAGGGGCGAAGCCCCGGTGGGGGCAGCGAAACTTTGAAGCCAGAGGATTTTTGTGTTTTATGGGTCTAAATAATGCTATAAAAGCAGTTATGTTTGAAAAGGGTCTGCAGCAAAACATTCCGTCTGAGTCTAGGTGGGTCTTCAGTCATTAGTTGGGTTTGAGGAATCGTTTGGGAAATTCGAGGGTGGGGTTTCGCCAGAAAAGAGGGGGTTTGCCCGAACCATAAATTCCAACCCCTGGCCACGGGCTTGCTGTAGCCTCAAGAATATTTGCTTAGTTTATATCAACAAACATATTCTTTTTATTGTGAAGACATAGTATCTGTAAAATCTATTTACGATAACAAGCATATGATCATTGCTGAACGTATAATATAAAATTCGTTTTATATATTTTATGTACTTCAATATAATATCCATTACCACTGTACAATTATAATATAAAATATGTTAAACAGTAATAAAATTGGAAGACTATGTCATGATATTGAATAAGTTGAGCATAATGTTCCGGTTTGAAATACGTTTGTCCTCTACTACTATCTGTCAATCAGTGCAACTGATGGGTCTTCTGTTGATAGTGCTTTGACATTAATTCTATAAGTAATGCTAGGACTTTCATTATGTCTTACATTCTGTTATAAATGTACTTGGTTATTAGGTATATACGCTCTTAATTAACAAGTTTTGTATACTCCATTTTACCTTATGTACTTCGTTGTTATATTACGGAGGTACTGTATAACATGTTATACTATATATTATTATATAAATGCACTTTGTTATTATGTATATATCAGTGGTTCTCCACATGTTTGGCCGCGACCCACTTCCCTGGACGTTAAACAATAGATAGGCCTACTCAAAATGGCTCATTTTAAATGGTAAACAAAATTGAAGTAAAATGTTAAATTAAATGATACTTAAAATGCGCTTTATTTCTAAAGCAAATTTTAGCATGATATTTAATTTTTTTTAAATCTTAAAGAGTCTCGCGACCAACTAATTTATTTGGCGACCTAATTTTGGGTCGCAACAAGAGTTTCATAGTTTGAGAACTGCTGGTATATGCACTTAACATGTCTATGTATATATTCCAGTTAACATTACGTACTTCTATATATCATGGTTACACAAGAACATTCACACAATATATACATGGAAATGAGAAGCTTAATTCCGTTTATATAGTTTAAAACAATTTTAAAACACCACACCAACCCCAATTTCACAATACCTGTGCTATATAATAAAATGCTGTCTAATGCTATCAACATACTCAGGAACATGCGCCAGTTTGTGATACTTTAGTTCATGTATGCACTGTGTTAATCAAATAAAACTAACAATACAAAACATGGCGCGTTATCCAGTCGCCGGAGACGTGTCGTGGATATTGTTACTTACGGCTGAGCACAATAAGCGCAGTATCCTACAACTAAAGAAAAAGAGAATAGCATTTTACAGAATATAACATTGACATTGTTATATATGCGATACGTACACTCATTGCGGTTTTGAATCGTATTTAAGAAAAGGTGAAAACGTTGTTGAAATACAATATTCTTTCGATTTTCACTATTATTCTTGTGTTCTGAGTATAGAGTTAATAATTGAGAACATATCATATTAACATAATATCCAAATTCTTCCATTACCATTTTTTTTAACACTCCACTCACTCCTGGTTCTCATTATAAGAAACAAATCTGATATTAACCTACCTCTTTTACAATTGGGCCCAACAAAACCATAAGGGCATTGGCAAGTGCTTGTGGAATCGTGATTAGTAAGACATGTTCCGCCGTTAAAGCATTCACATGCTGGAGTGTCTGAAAGAATACCGGCATATCACATTGATTTTTTTTAAAACTACAGTGTTGTACACGAATCTTATACCTTAAATTATATTATTACTGAAAAATAATAATGATAATATTAATGATGATGAGGAGGATGATTATGATGGTAATAATAATGATAATGATAACTGACGGCATTGGTCATGTTTAATCATTCAAGCACTCGAAACGTAGTGGAAGTTTATTTTAACGATACAGTTGTACATAAATACAGTTTTTGATTAAACAATCTTTGAAAATAAATGTATTTATTCAGCATTAAACGTATTATAGCCATACATGTTAAGAATATTTTAATATAAATATGATCAACATTAAAAGTATTATATCAATGGTTCATCCTATATTCAACACAATAGAGTGCAACATAAAACCCAGATCAATTGAATTCCAATCTATTCAGTCTATTATAAATAAACATAACAGAATTGTGCTTTGAAGCTAAGCGATCAAACATAAATAGTTAAAAACAGATTTGAAACTTTAAAATGTTCCAAACAGAACAGTAAAAAACATTAAAACGATATATTATTAAAACGTTAAAATACAGTAAAACGTATTAAAGGATATTATTAAAACGTTAAAATATATTATTAAAACATTAACAGACAATAAAAAGTATTTAGATATTTTTTAAAACACTGTACGATGAAAAATACAAAGAGCAGAAAGTTCATTAAAGTAGTATAAAATTATTGAATTTATGTTAGAAGACTAAGGCCAGGTTAAAATAGTATAAAGAAGTATGTAAGACAATTTCATTAAAAAGGTAAAGCAGGGATGGGGAATTACGATAATCACCTTTTGGCACGTCTATTAAATATATGGATAGAACTTGTACAAAAGACTGTCTAAACCTTTTGGTTTTCGATATAGGTGGAATTAATCTGATACATAAGTAGCTATGTATAAAATTGGAGTACAGTGGATGTGTAATATCATTCATTATATCTTTAACTTTCTTAATAATTTTCTCATTAAAAGCGAAATCAAGATTAATCATATATTATCATTAATAATTCGATTTGCTCTTTTGTTTATTCTCTCTATGCGCATTTTGTTTTTCTGGGTCATATTTCCAAAGATATAAACGTTGCAATACGTTATAACATTCATAATCACAGAGTTATAGAATAATCTTAATATAGTTTTATCAATGTACATATTATACTTCTTCATTTTACGCAAAATCCCCATTCTTTGTTGGCTCTTATCTGCATTTTCCAATTAAGTTTATTATCAAAAAGGCAACCTAGGTATTTATATTCAGTGACCACAGCAATCTCTGTGTTTTTAATGATTACAGCTCAACATTTTTGTTACGTATTTTCCTGAAATCTTTATAATTTCTTTAGTCTTACTTGTATTGAGTTTCATATTGTTAATATAACACCAATCAATAAACTCTGTGATAGTATGCCTATATACGCTTTCATTTTCATTAGTTATATAGCCACTTTATACGGTGACGTCTGCATATTTAATCATACAACATTCATGTAAATTGACTTTAAAATCACTTGTAAATAACAACTCTCCTGTCAGAAAGTACATTATTGATTTTAAGATACTGTGTCCTGGGTTTTGAAGAGTTGTAAACCCCTTATGTAATGTCTTTAACATTGTTGTTTAATGAGTTTTTGGAAGTGAGCCCTCTTTGGGGCGCTTTCAGTTCAACTAGTTAAAACGGTAGTTATGGTACCTTATGTTTTGAGGTAAATATCGTTTAATTGTTAGTTTAAAACCTGCATAGGTTTTATTAAAACATATTGTCTATATGTTTATGTGCTAGAGATAATGCTGTACTCTAGCTTAGTATTGATTATTGATATTTGTGCTTGTTATGGCACGATTCTATATGAGCATGTCTAGCCTAGTTTTTGATACACTATGCATGAACGTGCACGTAGGAGCCCGCACGCTGTGTGAGCAAAGATGTGAACTTTGACCTAAGGCAGTACACTTTCAGGATGCGTTAGCCTAGCTTTGTTTTTATAATGTTTATAAAGGGTAATGGCTATTTTGTATATCATCTTGGAAATTGTTGCATCACCCAGCTATGTGATTATATTTTAGAGATAATTTCTGTACCATCCATGACTTTGATTATTGAATTATTTGCAGCTGGATAGCCAGTGATCTTGGATATAGCCAGTAATCTTGGATACGTCTTGAGAGTACAGCACAGTTTATGTAAGAAAGATAGGTACATGCATATATCCTTGATATATTTAGTACTGTATTTTATACATCTTTTTTTGGGTTATGTCTTATTAGCATCTATTGCTTGTTGTTTTTGCAGTTACCAATAGATGTTCAACGAATGAAAAGTGAACACGGTTATACAACTGGATTTCAATATTGTCTTTTATTGTCGGGCCAGTACACCTTTTAACAATTGTTTAATTTATATTAATAGGCCTATCCCTTAGTTTATTTATCATCATCTCTGGCACAACAGTGTTAAACGCACTAGAAAAATCCACATACAGCGATCAAATATTATCACCTGTCTTATCTAGATGCCCTTCCATATTGTGAACTCAACTGGTGCTGTACAGGGTACATTGATTGATTTCTCAAGACATTTAATTGTATTTAAAGTTGGGCGGTAATCATTATGGACCTTAGGTTATTTTTTTTACTTTTGGAACAGGTGTTATAACTGACGTTTTGCAAATTGTTGGTACAACTCCACTGGTGATACTACTATTAAACAATTTAGCAAAAATAGGAGCAAGTTGCCTGCTACAATATTTAATAACACAAGAATTAATTTGGTCAGTAATTTGGCTTACTTCACACATGGAGAACACTTTCTTACATCATCTTCATTTATAATAGTATAATCGGTTTCAGCTTGGTCATTGTTTGAATTATTATTATCATTACCATCGTTATTATCATTATCATTACCATTGTTATTATTATTATTTTTATTATTATCATTATTATTATCATTTTCATAGTTACTAATTTCAAGGTCTTCATTTACATTAGTTTTCATTTTCAAAGCGACAGAAGAATTCATTCAGTTGGTTAATTAGGTCTACATTACCATGCATTTTAGGTTTACTATTTTTATACCCAGTTAAAGTTTGAAGAGCTTGCCAAGCTGGTTTTGGATTATTTTATCGAAACTTGGATTCAAGCTTCTGCTTATACTTAATTTTACTATGTCTAATCTGCTTATCCATTAATTTTTGTAGCTCGTTTACTTGCATGATGTTATTTTTTTCCATAGCTTGACGTTTTTCTTGGAGCAGTTTTTTTAATCTTCCATTAATCCACGGTTTTTCATTTGGATCATCGATTTATCAAGCGCATGCAGGGTATCACAAAGGGACAACAAAGATTAAAGTGTTAACAAATATTAAACATGATTTTTTAAAATAAATATTTATACAGTATTGAAACCAAAAAAATATTATCACAAGTAGGTGTATTGAATATTAACCCACTCAAGCGAATGTCTGGGAGGCCTATTCTAAGTCATAACTTGCTACGGGTCAATGCCAGGTCGCAAATCTGTTTTTATGAGTTGTGCATCGTTTGCTATGTAGTTTATAAAAACATTAGTAAAGTGTTAGTAGATATTGTTTTTATTATCCTTAGCTACCTTTCAACATTTTAAAAAGTTTTTCCTTTTTATTATTCATGGTCGTTTGATGTTTTTATTATGTACCAATCTTGTATTATTTATGAATTTTGACATTGTACTGTATAGTATTTATATATGTTTGCCAAGCAACACAATTTACTGTATTTTTATATGAACAAATGCAATTTCTTTAATCCTGAATTTGGCTTTATCTAAATAAAAACAAAAAGCCTCCCTCCCTCCCTCATCACTTTTCTAGCCTAGATAGGGTGATAAACTAATAATTTTTTTTTATTGGGCGTTAATCTAAATTTATTATCTTTGGAGAATACTCTCCTAGAACCTCCAAGCAAATTATGTACAACCGTTATCTTTAATATCGTTGACGATGTCTTTGTATTATTAGCTACATTTATAATTATGTAAGGGGTTCAAGATTCATTTATTATCGTCATACATAGTACAATGAGATTTGTTTCTTGAAGTTGATACAGAAACAGTGAAGATCTAAAACAATACTATAAAATTGGTTAGGCCAATACTTGAATATGCTGTCGGGCGCAAGTAGTAAGGTCAGAATCGCTGTCTTAGAACTATTTATAGCCTAAACATTCTTCATCTGTTACGTCGGATTTTGTAATTATTTTCGTATTTTGTAATACCTGTCATATTTTGTAATAAATATTGTAGTATTTTGTAACAAACCTTGTCGTATTTTGTAATAACAGAGCTGTCGTATTTTGTAATAACTTTCTGTCGTATTTTGTATTAAAATGCGCTGTCATATTTTGTAACAACACATCAAATGCCTGTTTTCTTCAATACTTTTGCAGTTTTTGAGAGAATAAAGTTTTTGGTGGTTATTAAATATTTATGTTAATAATTGTTTGGTATAGCTGTGTGATAAAAAAAAGTCAAAAGTCAAATGACAAATAATATTTAAAAAAATCTTTTCATTTTTACTGTATAACAAACAAACCTTGAATATAATATAATACTACACTGTAAAAACAGCATGTAACAACACATCAAATGCCTGTTTTCTTCAATACTTTTGCAGTTTTTGAAAGAATAAAGTTTTTGGTGGTTATAAAATATTTATGTTAATAATTGTTTGGTATAGCTGTGTGATAAAAAAAAAGTCAAAAGTCAAATGACAAATAATATTTAAAAAAATCTTTTCATTTTTACTGTATAACAAACAAACCTTGAATATAATATAATACTACACTGTAAAAACAGCGTGGAGGATTTAAACGCAAAGCTCCATGCAATTTTGTCCCGTCTTTGGAGACACGTTTGAAAGTTAAACGTGTTTAGATAAAAAGTAGTCAAAAGTCACATGAAAAATAATAATAAAAAAAATATTTTCATTTTTACTTTACAATAAACAAACGTTGAATATAATATAATACTACACTGTAAAAACAGCGTGAAGGACTTAAACGCAAAGCTCCACGCAATGTTGCCTCGTCTTTGGTGACACGTTTAAAAGTTAAACGTGTTTAGATATATCTTAATGTGCTTAGGATCTTGACGTGTTTAGAATTAAATCTGCTTTAGTATTTGACATCATGATGTCAAATACCTGAGCATATCTAATGCCAAACACGTCAGAAACCTAAACACATTTGGGCGGGCCTAAACACGTTTAGCTTTTAAATGTGTCACCAAAGACGGGACAACATTGCGTGGAGCTTTGTGTTTAAGTCCTTCACGCTGTTTTTACAGTGATAATGTGCAACTTTGTCAAATAACCACTAATGACTTCGGGCCTTAAAAAGGGTTTTTGATGATTCAAAACAGGAGTCATCTTTATTACATCATTTTTTATAAATAAAAAAATAATAGAAAATAATGGTTATTTTTTAAATGACCCTGAGTGACAATTTTCCATATAACTCCTGGCGGTTTCCAATCACAAGCCATTCTTATCACATCTATCATCACTTCTATATACAATGTTAATTATTGTATGATAAAATAGGAGAAATGTATGACCCGGACCTCTTTTTATCCCACAGTCACACCAAGCAATCATTAACACAAGTATGATCCCATCAAAACCTGTATAACTATAGATTAAAAGAGCACTCGACCATGTGACCTTTGACTTCTTAGTGTCATATACTTACACTAAACAATCATTAACACAAGTTTAATTTATTACAAAATACGACAGCTCAGTTTATTACAAAATACGACAGAAAGTTATTACAAAATACAACAGCTCTGGTATTACAAAATCCGACAAGGTTTGTTACAAAATACGACAGGTATTACAAAATACGACAAGGTTTATTACAAAATACGACAGGTATTACAAAATACAACAATTATTACAAAATACGACGTAACAATCGTCCAATGAAGCTCTTAAAGCTAACTAATCGTACACTAAAGGGAGTGAAACACCCAAACCATCCCCTAAATCATCTACTTCCAATACTGTTCCCAAGCCATATAACTTTCGTACGAAAAGACAATATGAATTACCATTGGTCAAAACTAAACGATCCAAGAGCTTCATACTAAATGTTGGTGTGTTTTTTGAATGGTTAATCCCTTGCATGGTATAATAACAACTCTATTGCAACGATGGTATGTGACAATTCTATTCTGCTTTCCTTTGCTCACTCGTTGCTTTCTTTATGTCTTCATTCACATTTTTAGTGTCCTGTTAATTTATCTGTTATGTTCCTCTTTTTTTTTTTTACATATTTACAACACCTTTCTCTTGTGTAATCATCTTTTTATCTTCGTAAATTCTTTTTTTGTAATTACATTTCTGAATCCCAATGTATTTATTGTCTCTTCTGTTTATATAAATTTACATGATGTATTTTCATTTGTAATAAAATTGAATTGAATTGAATGTGCCTTGGTTATTTGGTTAAAGTGGCATCGTCAATTCAATGATCTCAGTTTCCTTATAGATTCATCAATTAGGAGTTATATCGGGCTTAAGGCTTGTTAATACATTAGAGGGAATTGATCCACCAATTATAGAAAGGCCATGAATATCTGCATATACCCTTCCCTACCCTGGCTTGGACTCCCAACCTTGAGGTCGGGGGTTCGAAACTCTCGCTGTGCAAGTCGCTTGTGTCCTTGGGCAAGGCACTTCATCTACGGTTGCCTCTCTCCACCCAGGAGTACAAGTGCTTACCTGGTAGGTTCCAACACTGCGCTGATTACTAGCCGCAATATTATGGAGATATAATTTAATTTAATAATTTCGTTTAGTGTTCAATGTGATCCATATGTGTTTGATCCAATGACCAGGGTAATAATGTGAAGCGCTTAGAGGCTTTGTTAAGGCATTAAGCGCTATATAAGAACGACATATTATTATTATGTATCTAAATTTGTCTTTTAATTATAAACAGAGATCTGAACAGCATTAATGATGAGACTGAGTTGATAATTGTGCCTAATTACTGCTATATACTCGTGCGATGATGTTAATTGACTTATTTGTGATACTTACATATTGTAAACGTCCAAAAAAATCGGTCTCGTATTATTGACGATTCAGAGCCACATGCTTCCAATCCGGTAGCAACCCCAGCATCCATCAAAATGTAATAGCTCTGTTTTTCCAGGAATTGGAGGCCATTTGTCATAAATGTAATGGAACGATCTGTCATTGGCTCATATACAGCGTCAGGACTAGAAGAAACGTCTATTGAATACACAAGGCTGCCATTTCCATTGTAAAAACGAATAAAGGTTTGTTTTGTAGGACGTACAAACTGTAAAAATAAAAGATTTTATCTTAAACATGCATTAATAAACACAAATAATGAAGAGTAGGAGAATGGGCGAAATACGGTGTAGATTTTGGCACAAGGAAAGAGAACATATTGTCAGAGGCGAATCCATATTTTTTTTTTATAGGGCTGGGGGGGGGGGGAAATTGTATTCAATTTTTTCAATATGCCATTGGTATGTATGAAATTACAAAATTTAGTGCACGTGAGTAATTTCCATTTAATGAAATAATCAATGTTGTATTTTTTTTCTGATTCAACGAGTCGCGTTCGTCGGGAGGGGTTCTTCAGCCCCCCTGTCGACAGCTTGTGTTGCAACAGTAGTGAAGGCAATCATATCCACAGACTATCAGCCTATGTCATAGTTCTAACCGATATGAGCTTTGCATTATTTGACATTTATCAGGATAAGGTCCGTCAAGGATATACCATGTGAGATTCTGTTTCTTTGCTCAATGGTATAGGCAATGTCGTCGCAAGGCGTTTTTAAACAGTGTGGGACACTCCAAGAGTGGACCCAATGCTAGATTTGAACCAATAGAAGATTGGATCCATTCAGACTCATTTGGTCGCGTTTTATCGACTGTTGTCTACTCTTGTTTAAACTTTATTTATTATTGGTGGTAGGTTAGTGGGTAGGGGGAGGGGAGTGAATGAAGGGGTGGCCTGTCAAAAGGCCAAGCATCCCTTCCAGACGCAACTCATTAGATCTAAAAAGGGGAGAAAATCAATTTTCTTGGTTTTAAATTTTTTAAATGCCATAATTATGTGCTAAAACCTCCCAGAATAGTGTAAAATAGTCCAGTTAACCGAGGTCTGACTGGAAAAACCACCCTAAATAAGAAATACCTCACCTCTGTCCTCCATGGTTTGTGCTGATTGAAAAAAAAACTAAGAGTTTGGCAACTGTGGATGCCTGAAAATTGTATGCTTTAGACTTAAAAATATATATTTTAAATATAATGCATACGAAAAAATAGGAGAGAGGGATGAGCATCAAGAAAGTAAACAACTTCAGATCCACCATGGTTGAAAAAAAATTTAAGGGTTTGGTAACTGTGGATGTCTGGAAATTGTATGCTTAGACTTAAAAATATATATTTTGAATATAATACATGCGAAAAAATAGGAGAGAGGGATGAGCATCAAGAAAGTCCACAACCACTTCAGATCCACCCTGAGGCCAAGAAAATTATGACACGGCTTAAAATTAGGTACCTGGAAATTGCACTCTCACATACTTACTTCTGTTTATGAAAACCTTTTATTAGAGAGAAGACAAGCACTAGGAAAGTTCACATTCAGCTGAACACCACCATGGTTAAGGTTGAAAAATGTAAGGGTTTACCCTGGATGTCTTGAAATGGTACATTCAGACTTAAAAATGGTTTCAAAAGATTTAATTTTAAATATTTGTTGCAAAACAAAAAAAAATAGGAGGGAGGGGAATGTCTACATCTACCTCAACTTTTGCCTTTTTGCCTTTAGCTTCCAACTAGCTGGCACTCCCCGAAAAAGAAAAAAAAATCCTACCTTTCGACCAATGACCGTGCCAGGTTCTAAGAACAAACATAAGTTACTACATTATCGTTCTATACGAATTCTTCAACTAATACTTTAGGCAATATCAACAATTTCGCTGAAAACGTTGTACCAACACTAAACATACTGTAACGAGTACAGTAAACAGGGTGGAATAAATGTATGCATTGCAGTACATTCCTTTGTTAGCAGGCGATTATATGAGTTTTCTACATTTGGGGTTAAAAAAACAACCTCCAACTCAACGAACATTTTGTCTTCGAATGGAGATGCAGAGGACGCCTACTAATTCATAATGCCCCTGCAGCTATATTACCAAATTTCCGATACATATCGGACATACCGGTACTTTTTTTTCATAGCAAAAATGACATAGGAACGAAACTACTTTACATAATTACGACAGGTCTGACCTCCCTGGTCGATTATCTATCGTTTGGAGTGGGCGTTAATTGTGTTAGCCAGCTACTTCGTCTTGAACCTGCTCGATTTGGGGCCAGTTTCGTCCAACAAGTTATGGAACTGAACAGTTGGTTGGACGAGTAGTAAGCCTATAGGAGCATGGCCACATTTTGGAGAGGTTTAGGGAAGGATTTTCCCCCTAAACAATGATGGTCACATCCGAACACGTCGTCCACTGACATACAGTGTTCTTCTGGGATGCACCGATACTTCAGAACCGTACGTAAAGGGCACAATTCAAAATCATTCAAACCAGTGTTTATTTTTTATATTCATTATTTTCAAGCATCAATCATTATAACGTGACGGTTATTTATATATTATACTTTATTTATACGTACTGTACGTTACTATATCTTCTGTTAAAAAAACCCAATTTTTTTTTGACGTTGAACGCAAATTTAGAGGTTAACATTTCGAATATTTCTGATTGGCATTTATTACTCTATTGTTTTCAGTTTCATACGTTTGACGTATGGAGCATCAATACTAGCCGTACCCGGGTCTTTTTACCACTCTTACCACCTTGCCTAAACTTCTTAACCCCTCAGTATACTGTTTAAGTTGTTATTTACGCGAGGGTTTAATTATCTCTATGCCCCTTCCCTTTATGCCTGGCTACTGAAGAATCCACTGAAATATTATTTAATAAATAAATTTTATGCAATTACATTACAATACAGACATGGGAAAAGTTAATATCATTAATTATTATTAACTTTCCGTCACCCCTTCCTTCTAGAATTAGGCCTATTATAGCCATGGAAATTTTGTTTAAAAGCAATGAAACAAAATGATAAATCTTCACTTCAGCAATCACACATAAACACACTCACGCATGATGGTTATGAAACATTAGAGGTTAACGTTTCGAATATTTTTATTGGCATTTATTACTCTATGGCTTTCAGTTTCATACGTTTGACGTATGGAGCATCAATACTAGCCGTACCCGGGTCTTTTTACCACTCTTACCACCTTGCCTAATCTTCTTAACCCCTCAGTATACTGTGAATAGAGAAAAGATACGCTAGGTCTTTCAAGTTCACATGCGATAGGATGGTTTCGGGGTATTTTGATGAGTGGGTGATTTCTTTTTTGTTGACGTCAGGTCTTACGTTACCCCAAAACTTTCCTTTCTCTAACCTTCATTAGCTCGATCCTCGTACAACGACAACGGGCATACGTTTCGTTGAGGACATGTTCTCATCGAATATGATGCTTTTGGGGTATTGGTGATAGTTTATCGTTACCTGTATATTTTGGTGATTTACCGATTCATTGGCTACATATAATGCGGGCAAAAATATTGCTTCCCCCCCCCCATCTTTGGTCAGAGTACACAGGGAAGGTGATTATTAATATATCCCTCATAATCTATTGTTTTACAGCTCCAACAACAGCAAATGCAAATATTAAAAACAAGACATAGGTGCCGGCGAACAATTGTCTTTATCTTCCGTTCAGATTTAGAGTGTGTCAAAACATTAAATGAAAATATGGGCCGGTCAGTATGTGGAGCTACGGACCCTACTGCCGAATCACAAACAGGCCGGCCGTATCAATGACGATCAGCCAAGACAAGGCAAAAAGCCCTGCCAATTTAAGAATGGATTAAGGCATTGAATATTTTTTATAGCCATATACCTTGAAAAAATCAAGGAAGATGCAAACCATACGCTGAATTATTACCACAACATACTGGAAATAACATACTGGGGCTACACTTCATTTCATTTTTCATTTATTTATTTTCCAGATTGTAAAAAACATCATAAACCTAGCACTATTCTGGCGGATTGTCAAAAAGCAAACAAATTCACTATGCAAAGACTGTCCAACTAGTACTAGAACAGAAAACAAACAGGGGTTAATTAAAATAAAAAGTAGACAAAGCAGAGAAAAAAGCACAATAACCAAAAAAAAAATAAAAATAAATCAGTAACAGAAGAAGGGATCTCATCCCACATCCGTGGGAATGAGATAAAAACGGAGTTAAAAAAGCATTCGTACGGGCATTAGCATGTCTAAAAACAATTTTCTCAGTTCTACGGGCAATAGGAACATGCAACAGAGCATCATCAATGAGAAAGTCTGACCATAGGCACTTGACAACGAATTTTACACGAATGTGTTTTAGTCTATTGAAAATTGTGGGAAGTTTTAAGTGGAGCAACCTTTCTTCATGTTGGTCGTGAATCAAATTGAGTTTGAAAATAATATGGAAAGCAAGATCTTGTAAAGCGCCTCTGGACAGATTCAATTTGATTGATGGTGCTCTGCTGAAAAGGAAACAAAACAGGAGAAGCAAATTCAATAATTTGAATAATGATAGACTTAAATAATTTAGGGAAAACAGTTTTATCATTGCAACGGACACACCTCTTAATGAATCCAGCAAGTTTATTACATTTGCTAGTAGTTCGAGCAATGTGTTTATTCCATTTTAGATCAGATGCCATAAAGACTCCTAAATACCTATAATCCGAAACCTGTTCAAGTGCATTATCATTTATCGTATATTGAAATATAGTGCGTTCTTTGGATCTAGTAACCGTCATTACCTTATATTTACTGTGGTTTAGTGACATATTAGTATTACCCCACTGCGTTATAGCCATTACATCCTCCTGGAGTCTTAACGAGTCATCTTGTGTTTTAATAGTGCGAAAAAGGACCGAATCATCTGCATAAAGTGCAATATTCGATTTAACAACAGAAGGAAGCTCACATGTACAAAAATTAAAAAAGATGGGCCCCAAAACGGAGTCCTGTGGGATCCCCGACAAAACATCTTTCCATGTGGAAAGTAAACTTTGGTATAACACAGCTTGAGTTCGATTGGTCAGAAATGATTGCAACCAGTTGAGTAGGTTACCAGTAAAACCATATTTCTGCAATTTTTTAATAAGTAAAGAATGACAAACCCTGTCAAATGCTTCTGCCAGTCCAAAAACACGACATCAGTCTTATGAGGTTTGTGTACATCTAAGGCTTTTGCCCATTGGTGATAAACTGAGGCAAGCTGTGTTACACAAGATTTCTTGTTACAAAAACCATGCTGTGAAGAAGGTATTAGTCCCAATTTATCGGCATGGTAAGACATATGTTTACCAAGCACCAACAAACTGTTTCAGCAATTTTCCAGGAACCGATGTGCATATGTGGTCAAGATATGACCTCATAATGACCATATTTAGGCATGTCACATGTTTTTGACAAATATAATTTGATAATTGTTTTAATAGGGCCGGCTTTATGTGCCAGGGGCTCAATCATGTCAAAAGTAGAATGTAATAGAAACGCATTTCGGCCTACCTCTTTATCGAATGTCATCCGCCATGTTGAGTGATTTGAGACAATTTTATCTCCTGGCTTAGGTTCAAGTAACTCCGGAATAATTGCAGGGGAAGTCACTGAAATAACAAGATAAGATGCTGTAAGTTACAATTTAGGAGAAATGTATTTGTTCATACTTGTAGATTCCTCTTGGTTTTAAGTTCAATGGCTGGATCTCAGTAGAGATACAAAAATGATAAGCAACAGCTAAAAAGTAAACGTAAGTAAACAGCCAGAAATAGAACCAGAGCTTTCGGACAACACTAGTCCTTCCTCAGTGGCGAGTGAGTGAGAGTAGAGCTAGAAGCTAGATGGTATAAAGTGAGAATTTCATGCAAGCATGATTGGAAACAATAGGCTGGGTGAGATTAGAATAAACAGCCTAAACAAGTAAACAGGAAGGCCAAAACTAAACTTTAGAGACAAGCCTCAATAAACAAGCCAAATGATTTATCCAGAATAAATTGAAATGCAATTGGTTTAATTTAGTGTACTGGGAGAACGTTCCTAATATTGAGTCTAAATGCTGTGGTTGTTTTAAGTAAAAGTTCCCAGTGATTCTCTTTATCTTTGCGATTTTTGTCGCTTCAACTGGCATTATGGTCAATTGCAATCACTCTGAAATTTGAAATTGAATGACCAGCTAAATTGAAATGTTCGGCTACTGGTTGATCAAGCTTAGATGTTCTGATAGCTGATCTATGTTGTGTCATTCTCATACGGAGAGTGTTTTTTGTTTCCCCGACATATTGTTTACCACAAATATTACAATATATGAGATAAATGACATTTTTGGTGAGGCAATTAGATGGTCTGCGATAGGCTATGAACGGTGTATCCGGAAAAACAGACCTAAGACGTTCTGTGGTCTGTAGAATGGGCATATGTTTCTCAATTATAGCCCTTAGTGGTGGTAACCTAGGGTGATATGTAGTGACCAGTGGCACTCTGGTCGATCGTTGACGTGGTTTGTACGTCAGTGTTTGAGCACGAGGTATGTCCTTTGCTTTTTTTTTTTTATAGCATTTTCAATGGGT